TAAACATTAATGAGTTTTTTTATACTGAAAACAATCTCTTGATAAAACTACTAAACGCATTGTTAAAAATTATTTTTGTCTTAAATTAAAAACGTTTTCATTTTCATTTTCATACAAAAAATAAAATCATTTTGAAATGAGTTTCAAACGCACCCTATATGTTTCTCAAATCTCAAAAGATCGAGGTAACTTTTTTTTTCATCGATTTTGTTTTTCTTTCATTATTTTGTCTCCATACAGGTGGGAAACAACCCGTTCACTTCGCTGATTCGAGTTGAGATGTGACTTTATGTGAGAGCTTTTTACTGTAGTAAAAAAGTTAGATGTGATTGTTTGTGAGAGCTTTTTACTGTAAAAAAACTCAAATTCTAAACTCGAATCAACGAAGTGAACAGGGAGATTATATGTTAATCATGAAACTTTTCGATGAATCTTCCAATTTTTGTTTTAAATTTCAACGTGAGTTTTCTCAATCTACAAATGAACAGTCACAAAAGATTGCTATCGTCAAAAAAACGGAACGCACGCACAAAAAGTGCTTGGTTTAAAAGTCTAATAAGGTAGAGTATACGAAAGAGAACAACACCACCACCAACACCATCCATGGTGGTGGTATAGTAGGAAGTACACATGTAAGTTTGTTGACAAGAGTATGAGCTAATTTCCTATTTATTCCACTTGTAATTTTGGTCGATTTTGAAAATAAAGACTTCACTAATTGCATTTTTCAGTCATAATAAAAATAGATAAGAACATTAAAGTAAGATGGTTGTTCTAAGAAAATATAAATAATAATAACATTATTGCATAGAACTATATATATATATAGATATATATATATATATATATATATATATATAGAGCTTGTGCAGAATTCGAAACTCCTATAGTCATCCTCTGGCTAATATTGCTCTTATACACTTACTTTTTAACCGATTTGCCTAAAAATATTTAGATAATACAAAAGTGCCAAATAGTTGTGTTAACAAAAAATCACTTGCATCTATATGAAAATCAAGTTTGTGTTCTCTCCAAGAGTGTGAGCAAAGGCAAGATAACTGAGCTTGTGCAGAATTCGAAACTCCTATAGTCATCCTCTGGCTAATATTGCTCTTATACACTTACTTTTTAACCGATTTGCCTAAAAATATTTAGATAATACAAAAGTGCCAAATAGTTGTGTTAACAAAAAATCACTTGCATCTATATGAAAATCAAGTTTGTGTTCTCTCCAAGAGTGTGAGCAAAGGCAAGATAACGATAGCTTTCATCGCATAAGAAAATTTGTTGAAAAGGAAATACAAAAGATTTATTAAGACAACAATGATAAATAATATATTTTAAGGAAACATGGGGTAAGAAAAGCAAGAAAATGTTATAACAACAATAATAACGAGTCAATATGTTAGTACATAAGCCAAATATTAGTATGTCAAATTGAACCTTGAATTACATTACATGATATGCCCTGCTTATCACCTGAGTTCCACGTGGTCCACGAGACTAAAGCATGCCGCGAATTAACGCGTTGTGTGGTACTCATAGGTGATCAATTTGATTAATTTTACAATTCTAGCCATGTCTATCCATTTTATTATTATTATTATTTTATTTATATGAAAGTATACCAATTTTACAGTACTTATCAGGATTGAAGAATGAGAGTGGAGAATGAGAGTCAATCTCATGTTTACTTGCTCTTTTTTATTATGAAATGAAAGTGAGATTGGTGAGCCCCACTCAAATTTGGGATTGAGGAATGAGATTGGCACTCTCATGCCCCCCTTGGGATTGAGACTCTCATTCCTAATATTAATATTAATTTACTATCATACCCTTATTTTATTTATAAATACACAATTAAAAATAAAATTCAAAAAATAATAAATGCAACATATATTTATTATTTTATTTGCCTAATATTATAATATTAGCATAATTATTGTTAACTTTAATATAATAAATATGTACTTTATTTTTTAATAAATTAATAATATATTTTATTTTTTAACACTATTTTTTATTTTTATTTATTTTATTTAAATTTATTTAAATTTATTTTTATATTTTAAATAATTGTACAATTTATATTTACTATTTTAGTACCCAATTATTACACTAAATATTTTAATTATGATTAATTTTAATATAATAAGTACACAATATATTTTTTAAATTGAAAATATCAAATTGATTTAAAGGGTATATTAGTACTTTTACACTTTTTCATTCCGATTCTAGATGTAAGTAAACGTATAAATGAGATTTGAAATGACTCCGATTCTGAATTCTATCACTAAGTAAACAGCTTATTCTGACTCCGATTCTTCACTCCGGATCCTACGAACTCCGAATCTTGTCCATTCCGATTCATGCTCATTCCGATTACGCGTAGGTAAACATACCATATATATCCTGCTTATCCCGTGAGTTCCACGTGGTCCACGAGACTAAAGCATGCCGCGAATTAACGCGTTGTGTGATACTTATAGGTGATCAATTTGATTAATTTTACAGTTCTAGCCCTATCCATTTTATTATTATTTTTTTATTTATATGAAAGTATAGCAATTTGTTGTTTCTTGCTACATCGTTTTTAATGAAATGGGATAACTAACCATGGTTGCAACAATAATCAATGTTTCAGTCTTACCAAAAAGGGAGCAATAGTAGGTTCGGAGGAATAGGATTAACCATCGTTGTAGATTCTATATAAACACAGATATAGACAAAAGAGAGAATAAGCAGACAGGTGTTAATGTCTTTTGATTTTCAATCGCTTGTCTTTTTATTTAAAAAAAAAATTGTGTTTTGTTTTTTATATGCTCTTCGCGCGGTTCGTGGGCTTTCTCTTCATAGTTGTTCTCATAGTCCTAATCTATTAGTAGTGTAAAATTTTAACTGTTAAATCAGATTAAAATATATAAAATAAATTATTTTTGATATAAATTTAATAATTGAAATTAAAGAATTATTAATAATTCATTTTTTCTGACCTTATTAGAGAAACTCTCTTTTTATTTAAAAAAGATTAAGTGGGCTAGGATATTTTCCAAATAATTCATTTTTACAAGTGAAATTACAACATATAACATATTTTTCAAACTTAGAATAGTGAATAACATAATTGTTTTAATTAGATAGTATATATATCATAATTTTAAAAGTTTGAATTTCTTTCCTATTTTATCCTCATTTTTAATTAAAATTACAATTAACAATAAAAATAGAGGTGAAAGTTCGGGCCATCCGGCTCAGTTCAAACCCAACGGCCCAAATGAGAATTTCTAGTCGGGCCTGCCTATTATTTTCACCGTATCGGCCCTAAAAGAAGGAGGTTTGGCCCGAAATTCACAAGGTATTTTAAGAAATTTTTTTTTTAAAAAGATGTGCCTAACTCGAATAAGGTTTCAGGCTTGAAAATAAGGCCCAGCCCGAACACTTAAGCGGGTTGGCCCGGGTCAACAGTGTTGGGTATTAGTCCGGCCCAAACTTGCATCTTTAATTAAAAAATACCAAAATTTGAAAAACCTAATCCCATATTATCCCAAACAAGTTCATTCTCTCTCTCTCTCTTCCCCACTTTCACGTGTTCTATTTCTCTCCCACGTTCCTTCTCTCTCTCTCTCTCTTCCCCCTTTCGTATTCTCTCACACGCTCTTTCTCTCTTCTTGCTTGCTCACAATCTACAGTTGAATCGATGCCAGAGGCTGTCGTGATTGATCGTCAAAGAAGATGACGAAACCCAATGGACTTGGTAAACTGAGTTTCTGATCCTAGACAAACATTGGGAGAGTAATGGAAAAAGGAACAGAAGAGAGACATGGGGTGTAGGGATGGATATTCTTGGGATTTTGAATTTTGTGATGTAAGATATGCTATTAATTTCTTGTGATGTAAGAAATGCTATTAATTTCTACTTTTTTTGATTTTTGCTATAAATTTTTATTACCCTTTTCAAATATGTTATTTGCTTCATTCTCCATTTTTAAAAAGAGAGAATAAGCAGGTAGGTGTCAATTGACCTGCCTGTTTATTTTATTTTGTCCTTTATATCTTTTATGTTTTTTGATTCTCAATCGCTTCATTTTTGCTATAAATTTTTATTACTCCTTTCAAATATGTTATTTGCTTCATTCTCTCTTTTTAAAAAGAGAGAATAAGTAGGTAGGTGTCAATTGACCTGCCTGCTTATTTTATTTTATCATTTATATCTCTTATGCCTTTTGATTCTCAACCGCTTCATTTTTCTTTAAAAGTAAATTATTTTTTGTTTTTTATATGCTTTTTATGCAGTTTGTGGGCTTTCTCTTCATAATTTCTTTGATAAGCTTGACCTTCCAGTAGTGTCAGTTTTTAACTGTTGAGTCATGTCAAAATTTACAAAATAAACAATATTTAATACAAATTTAACGGTTGAAATTAGAAAACTATCAATAGTTTATTTTTTTTAGTCCCTTTATATTTTAAAAAGATTGAGTGGGCCAGACTATTTTCCAAATAATTTAGGGGTTGTTCTTTTGGAGTATAATTTTTGAGTTGAATTTGAGTTATAACTTGAGTTGAAGTTGTAACTTGAATAAAGTTGAGTAAAGTTAAATAAAGTTAAAACTTAAAAGAACGTAAACTTAAATAAAGTTGGAACTCGAATTGTCTTTTTTTGAGTTTTTTGAACAAAAGAACATGTCCTTATTTTTTTAAATTTCCTTAAATTCATATAAATATAATATATATTTTTTCCAAACATAAATCCGCAAATAATAAGAGAACCGTTAGCCAACCACATGAGACGCACGTGACGGCCCTTCTCTTCCCCTATATTTGAATTCGGACTTGAGCGCCTTTTATTCAATCAGATTAATCAAATCCCAGTCGCCCGCTTTTCAAATTTTCGCAGTCCATACACATTTCCTTTCCCGTTCGCAAATCACGCACGCACGCACGCACAAAGAACAAAAACACTTCTCTCTCTCTCTCTCTCTCTCTCTCTCTCTCTCTCTCACACACAGCAGCCCTTCTCTTCCATTAGCGTCAGGTACTTTCTGATCCGTTCATGGCGTCTCTTTGTTCAGATCGCAGATTCATTAGCTCAAGATTTTTTCTAATCCGTTTACTCATAATCTGTTTGCTTTTTCTTTATTTCAGAGCTCATCTTTTTCCTTTTCCTGTTTTTTTATATTGATTTATTGATTGCGAGCTTTAACCTAATTTTGGATTCGCTTGATTGCATTCGTTCCGTTTTTTGGCTATTGTTAGGGTTGATGGAGAATTCAGAAGCGAAGAGCGTAGATTCATCGCAATGCGTTCGTGTGGCGGTTAATATCCGACCGCTGATTACATCAGAGCTTTTGGTCGGCTGTACGGATTGCATTTCCGTTGTTCCTGGTGAACCACAGGTACTTTCTTCTTTGTGTCTCTGATTGTTTGTTTTGTTATATTTTCTGTAGGACTAATCGCTGTTTTTTCATTTCCAATCTCATCAACGTGTTTGAATCAGTTGGTTTTTCTCTTTGTTGTGTTTGTTTGCTTATGTGTTAATTGATTTCAAACTCGAAAGTTATATTTGTTGGGTCCTTGTGAATTAAGTATGAGAAATGTTGCATTGTTAAGTTTGCGAAATTTAAGGTCTAATTGCTGTTTTTTGTTACCAATCGTCGTTTTTTGTAGGACTAATCTATGTTTTTTCCATTTGCAATCTTATCAATGCGTTTGAATCAGCTGGTTTTTCTCTTTGTTCTGTTATTTTGTTTACGTGTTAATTGATTTCAACTCAAAAGTTATCTGTTGGGTCCTTGTGAATTAAGTATGAGCGCTTTTGGGTTGTTAAGTTTGAGAAATTTTAGGACCAATAGCTGTTTTTTATTTCCAATCTCATGAATGTGTGTGAACTTTGAACCAGCCGGTTCTTTCTTGGTTGTGTTATTTTGATTATGTATTAATTGATCTCGAACTCAATTTATATCCATTGTAGTTTTCGTGAATTAAGTTTGACAAAATTTTCATTGTTAATAGGTACAAATTGGTTCACATGCATTCACATATGATTACGTTTACCGAAGCACAGGATCACCCTCATCCTCAATATTTGAGGATAGTGTTGCTCCGTTAGTGGAAGCACTCTTCCAGGGCTACAATGCAACAGTGCTTGCCTATGGCCAGGTTTGATATACTTCTTTTATACTTGGATTTATTGCCTATTAAGTTCATGTATTTTGTTACTTAATGGGTCTGTTGTATTTCACATTGAAGACCGGTTCTGGAAAAACCTACACCATGGGGACCAATTACACAGGGGAAGGAAGTAACTTCGGGATAATACCCAAAGTAATGGAGACTATTTTCAAAAGGGTCGAGCGAATGAAAGAGAACACAGAATTCTTGATTAGGGTATCATTTATTGAGGTAAACCATAATTCAATTACCTGTTCCTTTTATTTTTTTAATTATTGGTTTATGTGCTCACATTTGTTTTCTTTTGAAATGATAGATATTCAAAGAAGAAGTGTTTGATTTACTTGATCCGAACGCAATAACTTCCTCTAAGAATGAAGGGGCAGCTCCTATCAAGGCTTCTGGGCCTGCAAGAGCTCCCATACAAATTAGAGAAACGGTGAATGGAGGAATAACACTTGCTGGTGTGACTGAGGCCGAGGTTCGCACAAAAGAAGAGATGGCTTCGTATTTGTCTCGTGGCTCCTTGTCTCGTGCGACTGGGAGTACAAACATGAATAGTCAATCAAGGTACGACACTTTCAAAATTTTTTTTTTCTTAGTAGCATTAGAGTTTTGTTCAGTTAATGGTAAGACATTGTTTAATATCAAGCATTATAAAGATTTTTATTTTATCTATTTATTTATTTATTTTGTCTTCTCAGCCGTTCACATGCTATTTTCACAATAACCATAGAGCAAAAGAAGATTAGTAATGGCTCAAATGGAGCAAGTAATGATGATATTGGAGATGAAATTTTGTGTGCGAAATTGCACTTAGTGGATCTAGCAGGTTCTGAGCGAGCAAAGCGAACTGGTGCTGATGGTATGCGCTTTAAAGAAGGTATGATCTCCGGGCTCCAAATAGATTTCCATAATGTACTATATAAGTGGATTTGTAGATCCCTGGTGGCTTATGATTTAATAATGTATCCTTGTTCAATTATTTGATTGATTTATGGTCCTGTGGTTTAGGCGTTCATATCAATAAGGGTTTATTGGCTTTGGGCAACGTGATAAGTGCCTTGGGAGATGACAAGAAACGGAAAGAAGGTGGACATGTTCCATATCGCGACAGCAAGTTAACTCGTTTATTACAGGTATGCATACAGTACTTCTCCTTCAACAGTTTTTTGTTACAGTCAACTAGAGCATGGTTTTGTAGATAGCTTTACAGAGGGGGGAGTGCTGAAAACATATTAGTTAAGCAATGGAAAAATGAATTTGTTTTGACCATATGAGAGTTAAGAAATAACTGTTGGGGCTATATATAATTTTCAAGGCTCAAGCCCAATTTCTGAAAGTGTTAAGTGCAAATGATACAATAAAACCCAAGTTATTTGATGAAATAAGGTCATTATTGAGAACAGAATGCTCTAACTAAAACATTCTTTTGACTGATATTTGAAATTGAATTTCTAGGATTCTCTCGGAGGAAACAGTAAGACGGTGATGATTGGTATGTCATTCTTTACTGAAACTTAAGATTGTCTTCGCTGTTGAAACTTTTTTTGGTGTGCTTCCTTGCTTATAACACACACACACACACACACACACACACACATATATAGATATATATATTTATATGTTTGTTTGTTTATAATGTAGCTTGTGTTAGTCCCGCTGACACAAATGCTGAGGAAACATTGAACACATTAAAGTACGCAAATCGTGCTCGCAACATTCAAAACAAGGCAGTTGTAAGTCTCTTGTGCAACACATAAGTGATCATTTTTGAGGTTCATGTTTTTACTTTAACAATCTTTTTTTGGCTTGATTAGATCAACCGGGATCCAATGGCAGCCCAATTGCAAAGAATGCGGAGCGAAATTGAGCAATTGCAAGCTGAGCTTCTATTTTATCGTGGAGATGCCAGTCAACCATACGAGGACTTGCAGGTATATCCTTGTATAGTTGTATTTGAAGTACAAGAATTGATTCTTTTGTTCTCATTCACATGTCTTATTGTTTTTGTGTTTCTACAATCCTTGGAAATTTGCAGATTCTTAAAAGGAAAGTGTCTTTACTCGAAGCAAGCAATACAGAGCTGCAAAGGGAGGTACAAAAGCGCCAAGTCACTTTTGAGCATTTAACGCAACGTGCACTTGATGCTCAGGTTATTTATCTTTTTTTTTTTTTTTTTGTAAGAAAAGTATTCTTTAGTGATTCGTATTCTCTATGGAACCCGTACGATTTCCCTTATGTTCGAATGTTGTAGGTTGAGAAAGACAAACTGATAATGAAAATTGAATTGGCACGAAATGGAAAATCTTGGGATGAGCTTGACTCAAATTCTGATCAGGTCCGATTAAATTCAATTATTTCCTCCTTAAATTGTTAGATTGAAGTATTATTTATTTTTTTTTTCCCATACATTTAATCTATTGTTCTATCTTTTGACTAATAGTATACTCTGACACATGGTTTAAATTGTAATTTTCAGAACTATGACCTGTTGAAGAATTATGTAGCAAAAATTCAAGCATTAGAAGGAGAATTGTTGCAGTTAAAGAATCTGAACAACTCAAAACAAAGATTGACTGATTGTTTTGACTCAGATGATGAAGAATTTCGCTCCAAGAATATACTATTCCCATGTAGTAATGAGTATTCATCTGATTATGATTGCAAAGGTGGGGACATATCAGGTAACATTTTGGAAACTCTTCCGGTTTTTTCTGGTTTTACTAACCATTTGATTATTAAAGTTTAATCTACCCTCACGCTCAAATATCTTGGAGCATGAGCATATTTCGATCATAACTTGTTGGTTTTTGTGCAAAATTAATCTAACATAAATTTTGTTTTCCTATACCTTTCTGTTGGTGGCCTTTTGTCTTTTACTTTTCTATTTAGAAGTGATATTATTAACTTGCTGATATTTATTTCTTATAGTTACTTCTTTTTGACTCATATGCAGATGAGATTGTGGATCATGAGAAGGAGCAAGAACATTCTTCTATTCAAGAAAAATTGGGTTATGAGCTAAACGAATTGGACAAAAGATTGGAGCAAAAGGAGGTAAGAATTACTTTAGTTTTGGCTAAAGTGACTTTACTTAGCTCCAATTGTTGACGATATTAAACTATTGATATACCACTTTAAATCTTTGGAGCTTTCTTCTTCTTCATATAATTTATATTATTGTCTGTCCACAAATTTGTTAAAGGCTGAGATGAAGCGATTTGCAAGTGCTGATACCTCAGTTCTTAAGCAACACTATGAGAAAAAAGTTCATGAGTTGGAACTAGAAAAGAGAGCTTTACAGGTCAGTTCTCTTTTGTTATAGCTTTGTTCTGATTTCATTTAAATGACAGGTAGTCTGGTAATAATTAATAATAAACCATTCTCTTCTCTCTTGCGATTGGCAGAGAGAGATTGATAAACTGAGACACAACCTAGCAAACATCTCATCTACTTCTGATGATGGTGCTCAAAAGTTGAAGGATGATTATTTGCAGAAGTTAAACATCCTTGAATCGCAGGTGACAATAAGTTGGTTAACCACCTTTATTGTTGGCGATTTGCATATTTTGCTTAATCCTTTGCTTTTGCAGGTGTCAGAGTTGAAGAAGAAACAAGATGCTCAAGCTCAACTATTGAGACAAAAACAGAAAAGTGATGAGGCAGCGAAACGACTACAAGATGAGATTCAAAAAATAAAGAGTCAAAAGGTGCCAAGCTTGCTTCCAAAAATTGTTCTTCCTACAATATGATATTCGTAATTAAGTTTCTTTATTTGTTGTGTGTGTGTGTGTTTTCTTTTTCTTTCTTTTTTTTTTTTTCCTTTTCCTCTGCCTTGTACTGGTTCCTCATCAATATAAAGCTTGTTACTAATGAAAGAAGTTATTAAACTGTAAACGCAATGCTGTATTTTCCAGGTTCAACTTCAACATAAGATCAAACAAGAGTCAGAGCAGTTTAGATTATGGAAAGCATTACGAGAGAAAGAAGTTCTTCAGGTATATGTGATTAGGAGCAAGCTTATATATAAAAAATCTATTTTCTGATTTAGTTATTTTCTTACATTCCTTGTATTGATGTATATAATATGTCACCTCACACGCACGCACATAGATAATCGCATCTATGTGTGTGAGCACAGTTATAGGATTTTCTTGCTACAAATCTTGCTACTGTAACCTAAATATCTTATCCATTCTTCTACTACTAAACGTTTTTCCTTATATATTGTATGCAAAAACCAGCTTAAAAAAGAGGGAAGGAGAAACGAATATGAGATGCACAAGCTATTAGCTTTGAATCAAAGGCAAAAAATGGTTAGCACAAATGCTTACATACGGTGCTATTGACTTCAATCTAAGAAAATTTTCTTCAAAAAAAAAAAAATTTACGAATAAAAAATTGGTCTTGTCATTTGTGTTTGCATTATAGGTTTTACAACGTAAGACGGAAGAAGCCTCGATGGCAACAAAAAGGCTAAAAGAACTTTTAGAATCTCGGAGAACTTCTTCTCGTGAAACTACAGGTGAGTGATTTATTGTTACTGCACCAGGCTGTTACTTTCACTTTTGCGCCATTATAAGGCATTTATAACTCATCTGTTTATATGCAGGGACTGCAAATGGCAATGGTCCAGGAGTTCAGGTACTTATCGATTACTGGTTTATAACTCTATCTACTTAAGTGTGTGTTTGTTTAGGTTTTTGAGGCTTTTTTTACAATGTAAAGTTGCTTTCTAACATACGTGAGTTTCTTTTGAGAAGGCTCTGATGCAGGCAATTGAACACGAACTTGAACTCACTGTACGTGTACATGAAGTTCGCACCGAGTACGAGAGACAAATGGAAGAGTAAGTCTTGTTCTTTGTGTTACGCTACTTCAGGACTAACAAGGATTGTCCAGATTAAGGTTTTGTCATTCTTTGACATTGAAAATGCTAGACTTCCCTGCATCAGATTTTCTTGTCGTCATGTTGATTTAATATATGATTGTTTTATTTCTTTATTTCTTTTTCTTTTTTAATCCAGTTTCCCACACACATGTGTTTAATTTCCCTACTTTATTTTGGTGATGGTATAAAATCTGATTCAAGCAATACATGTTGTTAATCCAGGCGGGCTGGGATGGCCAAGGAGGTTGCCAGGCTTAAGGAAGAAGCGGAAATTTCAAAGCAAGCTAATTCCAGGTGAACATTTTGCCACTAGATATGAAGTAGATGACGATGTCATTTCTTAAAATAAAATATAAAAAAAAATCTGCAAAAAATGCTCACTTATATCTTCTTGAATAATTTCTTATAGGAACTGCCCTGAAACGTTGTCTCCTGGTGCAAGAAATTCAAGGATTTTTGCACTTGAAAACATGCTTGCTACTTCATCTAGCACCCTTATTTCGATGGCATCGCAATTATCGGAAGCCGAAGAGCGTGAGAGGGGTTTTAGTGGCAGGGGACGTTGGAACCACGTTCGTTCTCTTGCTGATGCAAAAAATTTGATGAATTATCTGTTCAATTTAGCATCTTCTTCCAGGTAATAAATTTATCCGACAAATGTCTAAAAGGAAGACAATAGTTTATTTTTTATTTTTTATTTTTATGTACCTTTGTTGAGAATTTTCTCGTGTCATTCAAGGTGCTTGTTACGGGATAAAGAAGTTGCATGTCGGGAGAAGGATTCGCAAATAAGGGATTTGAAGGAAAAAGTTGTTCGTTTAAATAGTTTGCTTAGAAAATCAGAGATGCAGAAAGCAGAGCTTGTTCATCAGGTGAAATCTCAGGTTGTTTTCTTGGTTTTCACAATATTATAGATACAAATACATTTTTTTTATGATGCAGTTTTGGACTTATTGGAAATCATGCCAAGTGATTCTCAATGATATGTGTTTTGGATTTGGTCAACATTCTGTCTAATTAAACTACTCTAGGATCACAAAGTTTTCACGTTATTCCTTTTTTTTTTTTTTTAAATACGTGAATTGTTTTCAAGTTAAGTTAGTGACTTATATAATCTCTAGTTGATGGTCGTTGTGATATTTGAATTCTTTTGAGTCGTATGGTTTGGAGTAGCAAACTCGTCATGTTCTCTATATTTATTCGCAATTCCTGTTTATTCTCAATTGGCAAATTGGTAATGTGAATTTTCTGCTATTTTAAATTTTTAGCACATATATTTTTGTCTCTAGTTTCTAAATTTTCTTTTGGATACGAAGATATTTATTTATTTCATTATGTGATATCTGAACAGAATTCAGCCCTCAAAAAATATGCTATGACGAGCACAGGAGATTCCACATATATGGGAGCACATAAGTATGATCTACGCAAGCAGGTTGATGGTTGCTAGACTCATTGGTTACAGCTGAAAAATTTATAAGAACTTGACAACTTGTAACCAAATTACATTCTCTAATTTCCCACCAATAAATGATGTGTTTCTCAATTTATGATATGATTGTAGGATCATCGGAGCTCCTTTATTGTATTGGAGGACATGGATACATCTGAGTCAGAAAAAGCAGATGCCGATGACATTGACTGGGTAGCCGATGACGATGACATTGACTGGGCAGCTAAAAGCCCAGTTACGAAAAGAAATTCTAAATCCAAAAATCAGTCTAGTGGTTCATCAAGCAGCAACGATCAAGAAAGCTTGAAAATGGACAGTTCGGTTGAGGGTGTTGCTGTCAAAACTACATCAGGAGTGTGCTGCTCTTGCAGCAGATACTCCTCATGCAAAACGACCAAATGCCAGTGTCGATCTTCTGGGGAGCTTTGTGGGGCGTCTTGTGGCTGTGTATCTGCAAAGTGCTCGAACCGAGATGTCGACAAGTCGCTCCAGTCGGAGATGGCTGAAGGGATAGCAGATGGTTCAGGAAGTGACGAAACATCAGAGCAAAATAGGCTTCTTGCTTCTCATGGGGCAATGCTGCTTGAGAGTGCATTAGTGGAGAAGCCGGCTGAGACAAGTGAAGATGGCGGGCCAAGAAGAAAACCTCTCTCTGACATTGGAAACACAACGGTATATACACATGAAAAATACCCTTTTGCAGTAACATTTTATGATTCTTGTTTTGAGCTTGAAAAAGCTTTTCTTGTGGTTTCCCTTGATTACAGGGCAAATCAAATGCACCAAAGCCTAATAAGAGGAAGAAGTGGAGAAAATCCACCATACAGCTTATCACCAATCCCCCGCCTCCTTCGCAGCCAGAAAAAAGTGAACCGCCTCAGAAGCCCGATAATAGTAGTGCAACTGAGCCTGAAATTCCGGTTAGGTTACCGAGGGCAATGCGATCTGCAGCAACAACTGGTGGTATTTTTAGAGAGAGGAATGCTGATAAACCAGAGGAATCAGGTGTCAACAAGGAGTCCGCAATTCATGCTCCTCCCAGAAGTCCTATCCAGCGGAACAAAACATCGGAAGATCGGCCTTTAACTTAAGTAAGCGAGGTACCAGCAACGGTCGTTGCTTCACTTTTCACCTACACAGTGGACTAGCCCAAAGTAGTGCCCCATGTTTCACCTTTTTCTACTCATGTACTGTTGTTGAATCCAATGGAAACAGAAATTCCTTAATACTTGATTATAAGACTGCCGTTGTAAAAGCTTTAGGCACACTTACCTTTTGTTTCTCAAATCCTGGTCTTAATTTGAGTTTCAAGACTTATTTTGTTTTGGATTTTGCTAATATGGGCCAAAGCTAACGCAAGAGAACTATTCAATTTGTATAAAATTTTTTCTTCTTTGATTTTGTTCAAAACTTGATTCAGTATATATTCTGCAATTATGGTCTCAACGCGTTTTCTTATACTTTTTAAAAAAAAAAAACTTATTTCTCAGAGTTTTGATTTGAATTGAATTGGTGGTGGGATGAATTTTTAATGAAATAGAAGCAATGGTAGGGATATTTCTTCTAAGACATCACATTTTCCACCCCCCTCTCAACATTAATAATGCTTATAAATTGTAAACATAGGCCAAACTTAATCATTAGTTTTGTGTTACCCATTCTATAGCACTTATTGACTACAGAACTGTTTTAAGTTTTGGATCTTAAGCCATCACATGAGTCAGGAAACTTTGCTGATAGTTTATGAGTTGTGTAAAAGTTATACTCAAACTCAAATCATGGTCATGTTAATGTTTTTTATCTAACAAAAAATTTGAATATTAAAATTTTTTTTCTCACAAAGTTCCTGCCAATAAATTCAAATCATGTTTTGAAGGCGTAATTCAGTTGAGTGGCAACACAGTGTGTGCCTATTGAACCCTATGGGCAAAGTTTTCAACTGCATTTCTACTCCAAGAAACTCGTATACGTCCTTATCAAACACTGGAATTATACTTCTCAGCTCCTCAAGACTCGAGTCCCGAAGCTTGCAGTTTATTGAGATGTACAAAGCGACGGACCTTCGTATACGTCCTTATCAAACACTGGAATTATACTTCTCAACTCCTCAAGACTCGAGTCCCCATGGTCATGTTAATGTTTTTTATCTAACAAAAAATTTGAATATTAAAATTTTTTTTCTCACAAAGTTCCTGCCAATAAATTCAAATCATGTTTTGAAGGCGTAATTCAGTTGAGTGGCAACACAGTGTGTGCCTATTGAACCCTATGGGCAAAGTTTTCTTTTTTTTCTCACAAAGTTCCTGCCAATAAATTCAAATCATGTTTTGAAGGCGTAATTCAGTTGAGTGGCAACACAGTGTGTGCCTATTGAACCCTATGGGCAAAATTTTCAACTGCATTTCTACTCCAAGAAACTCGTATACGTCCTTATCAAACACTGGAATTATACTTCTCAGCTCCTCAATACTCGAGTCCCGAAGCTTGCAGTTTATTGAGATGTACAAAGCGACGGACCTTCCCACCTTCCCACTGCGTGACGCGATGTTCTAGGGTAATCGCGAAACATGACGAAAGTTAAGAATCATTTTATCGAAGAAAAATAATGTTTTTTTGCTACGACAAAAAAAAAAAAAAAAAAAAAAAACACCTCTTGTGCTCTTGCTCATTCAATTCTCTTCAACTTTTAGATTATATATCTAGCAACACTTCTATAAAAAACACTCATTTCATGTTCTATGGATACCAAGAATTGTTTGTTTTGTTAATTCAAATCATAATTTAAGTTTTTATTGTAATATTTTTTTTTTCATAAAAATTTAAATTTAATTAGATATATAATCTTTCAGGAGTGAGATTCTTAAGATGTATCGCAAATTACAATTGCCATAAAAGGCATAATAATTATATAATATTTCAATTACACTACTTACGTTGTATGTGAATATATTTGTTATATTATCCTATAATTTAACTTTTTCACGTGAATTTATTTTTTAATTCTTTTTTTATTTTGTCCCGATTAAAAGTGACGTTCCGTGCAAATTGTGCCGACACTTCAAGCATCCCCAGAAGTTGTATTGACGCTGTCAAATACAGGTTCTTTGTCTTCCTAGTTCCTGCTACAAGAAAATTAGTAAGAGAGTGGTCAGTTTAAATGTCATTCTCATGTTACAAATATGAATGATTTTGGACATATGAGAGAAACATATCATGCAGAACCTGTAAGGTGTGTTTTTCTTACCATTTAAATCACAACTTTAATTTTTTTATATGAGAAAAAATACTGTAAAAAAAATTTAAATTTAAATTTTTATGAAAAAAATACTGTAATAAAAAAATTTAATTTGTGAAAAGAATTGATGTGTAGATATAGAGCACGGCTACAAGTATACATAGGGTCCGTTCATTTCGCTGATTCGAGTTTTTCTACAGTAAAAAGCTCTCATAAATAATCACATATAACTTTTTTACTACAGTAAAAAGCTCTCACATAAAGTCTAGATCAAGATATGATTCCTTTTCAATCCAGTAGATTATTTTTTTTTGGTAAAAAAAATCCATTAGATAGGTGTGTAATGTGTGCACTAACTACTAAGCATTCCTATTAGACCATTCAAAATAAATAAATAAATAAATAAAAAGGAAAAGAGAAAAGAAAAGAAAAGCGGATAGTACAGAACAGTCCTTAAGCCTCAACGTTCACTTGATCCGACGTGGCAAAATTGAATCAAAATTGTTCCCTCCATGTTTACAACACGAGCGATGACGTGGCAATCATTACGAGCTTCTTCACAGACCCACCCACTATATCAGGAGCGTTGCAAAATACTTCTTTTAAATCCATCCGATCCTATAGGCGGAGCTCCACCGAGCCATACCCTAGTCCCTCGCCGGCGTTTTACTTCCACGCTGATCGGAGAAAGGCTTCTCTCTCTCTCTCTCTTTCTCTCCATTACATGAGGAAGACGAGGCGTGGATCGGCCGACGCCGACTGCAGCGGAGATGATCTCCGACATTGCCAGAACAGAGTCCGCGAGCTCGAACTGGAAAATGAATCCTATCAGGTAGGTGAAATTATGTTTTCGATTATCCATATTTCGAGTTTGTGCTCTGAATTGTGGCTGGAGGAGTCTGTTTGGTTTGCGAGAAATCGTAGGAAAAGTAAAGGTGGAAGCGGCGGTGTTTGTTTGGATGAGTGTGATGATGTTACGTGGAGTTACTGGAACCCTAGATGTTCTAAATGTTGTTGCGATTTTGAGGGAATTGGGAATTGAAGCTCGAGTCTGTCCTCTCGAGGAGAAAATTGTTGTAAAAATGGAAAGGGAAATGAGTGAAAAAAGAATTGTATTCGTATAATTGTTTCGATTCTGCTTTGAATTTCTGAGGAAAATTTGGGGGTTTTTCACTTAAATCAAGAGAATGCTGAGTCTTTTAAGTTCCTCTCCATCTTAAATCGAAGCCAAATATGAAAAAGTTCAGATTGTTTGAATTAAAATATTTTTAAACATTTTATGGAACAATATGTGGATAGCGCATGAAATTCTAATTAAAATGCATTTCAAAGAAAAGGAAATGAAACACATTAGGTATTCTTTCTTAATGATTTCTTAACATGTGGGTTTTAATTTCTAAGTATTGCGAAAGTTTCTTACATTTCTTCTGGAGAATTTTGGCAGAAGGAGATTGAAGAGCTTAGGTATAAGCTTGCAAATTCTTCATCCACTCCTACTGATAGTTCCCAGAAGCTCAAAGAAGAGTATCTTCAAAAGCTGACTGTCCTTGAAGACCAGGTTAATTATAGTTTAGATAGTGAGTGTACGTCAAACAAAATTTTGCATAGCCTTTGACTAGAATCAGTTTATCCAGGTTGCGGATTTGAAGAATAAGCTTGAAATTAAGTCTCAATTCTCCGTGCAAAGACCCAGAGGTGATGAAGCAACAAAACAGTTGCAATATGAGATTCAGAGTTTGAAGACTCAAAAGGTGAGATTTTTTTTGTTTTTTGTTTGTGTGTGTGTGTTATATATATATATATATATATGTATAAATAGATGAGAGACGTCCATGTAAGGGTCGTTATTTACTCTTCATTATCAACATTTTTTTTTACTATTCAGGTTCAACTGCAATGTAAGCTGAAGATGGAATCTCTGCAGTTCCGGTTATGTAAGGCTTCGCTTGAAAAAGAAGTTCTTCAGGTATTGTTACAGAATTTGCCGTTCCATTTTTGGCGTCATATTATCCAAGATTGAGATTTACTCTAGTGACTTGTTGTATTTGGGTTTGATGTTTCTAGAAAGTATTTGACCATTATATCTTGAACTGTTATTTTGTCAAGATATTTGAAAAGTTTTGAAGTTTTTTTGTGGCATTAATAGATCAAGCGAGAGAGTAGGAGGAATCAGTATGAGTTGCGTAAGGTGTTAGATTCTAACCAGAGACTGAAGATGGTAATTCTACTTTTCAATTTTTAGCTATCCCTTCGTTTTTGTTTTCCATCTGTGCAACTTTAAATCCAATATATCATCCTTTGATCCTTGCATAATAGGTTTTGCAGCGAAAGACTGTAGAAGCGTCCATGACTGCTAAACGTCTAAAAGAGCTGTTAGAATCTCGAAAAGCTTTGTCAAGCAAGACATCTGGTTAGGATCCTACTTCCTCAATTTACCTCGTGTCTGTACATGGAAGCACATATCATGAGCTAAATAAAAATTTAACGTCCTCCCTTCTTGGTGTATACGTGATGTAGGTTCCAGAAATGGTGCCAGAAATGGGGATAATCCAAGAATTCAGGTACTTGGCCAAAACGTAGAAAATTTAACGGCTTTTAGGGACAGTTATTCTTCAATTTATTCTATAATAATATATGGTGGCACGATGTTCACCAGGTTGTATGTACTAATGTGGAAGATCTGTTGACATTTTTATTTCTTTGACAAGGATGTTCTCTTGCAAGTTGACGCAGTCTTTCAGTTAGTAAATAGTGTTATGGCTTTAAGTTTTGATTTTTGACACATGACAAGTGTTAATATACTTTTTAAAATATCTACTTCCAAGCATTCGTTACTGCTAGGACAATTTGTAGGCAAAGTATGGTTTATATTCAGCATTACGAATGCTTTCAACGAGTAAACTTATAAGTGGCTACAATTTATATGGTATTATCATGGCATTTCCTTATTATTTTTTTTTCATGATTTCTTTTTTTCACTTTTCATCTTGGGCAACGTTTCTGAAATAATGTAACAATTGATGCAGGGTTTAGAGCATGAGCTTGAAGAGACAACGCGATTGAGTGAATGGTGTTCTGAATACGAACGTCAAATTGAAGTGTGAGTTTACTCTCTCTCTCTCATGTAGAATACGTATTCTGGAAACTGTGCGTCAGCCACATGGATCAACTTTAGCAATGCATTTTCTTGTTTCATCCTGTTAGAATGGCTGAGGAGAGTGCTAAGCTAAAGGAAGAAGTAGAGGTGCTGAAGGAAGAAAACTTAAGGTGAGAAGAAGTCTTTGTCTATGGTATTCTTCCTGTAAAGTTTGGAGTGTCCATTCCCTTGGCAGTACTTATATTTATGGCGTTTTGGTTTTAACCCTTTTCTCTCTTTCTTAAGGTGCTTATCACAGGAGAAAGATGTTCGCTCTATCGAGGAGGATCCAGACATACATGAGCTGAAGGAGCAAGTACTTAGCTTAAACAGTTTGGTCAGGCAATTAAAGCTACAAAAAGCTGAACTTGATCATGGCAAAAAGTCACAGGTTAGTATCCTTGGAACCCCTAGATACCTCTAGGTGATACATTGCAAAATGTATCTCGAATTCAAGAGACATAATAATAATATTCCAAAAGCGTTGTATTTCGAAATCAAGAGACATAATAATAATATTCCAAAAGCGTTGTCTAATATTTCTGATGATCACTGATCAGGATGATTCAAGTCATATCTCTGTCAATCTTTCAAGAAGTGATCAGTCAGTGAAGGACACAAGCACATCAGGATCAAAACATTTCAAACCAAGCAATGTTTCAAGGAACAAGACCACATCAAGCGTATGCTGCTCATGCGGTAAGAGGTCTTTGTGCAAAACGACAAAATGCAGATGTCGTCAAATGGGTGGCAGCTGTGGGACATCATGTGGCTGTACATCTGCCAAGTGCACCAACAGAGAAGCTTTCCAGATACAGTTGAATGACTCACCACAGTCCCAGGTTTCTGAAGCCAAAGCTGATTCTTCAACAATCGTTGGAGCAGTAAAGAGCACCACATGTACTTCTCAAGGTGACATGATACTTGCAATACTTGAACAGCCCAATATTGGGCATAACAAGAAACCCTTATCCGACATCGGGAACATACGGCTGCGATCTACCAGAAAAGCGGATTAACACTGGAAACGATGATTGTTTGTTGTTGAATTGCGATATAAAATTGATTTGTTTATTACACCATTGAATTGAATTGAGATCCAAGAAACGTAATCCTCATGTTATAGTAGGATTGGATGATAAATGTTATTAGTCCAAACAAATGCATTGCATTTTTTTTTTTCCCTTTCGGTTCAAATATTACCATAAGCTGGACATTAAGCAGCTGCACCACCTCGATAGCGTTGACAATGAGGCTTCAGCCTTCGACGATTCCCGAGTGTTTCATTGATCTTTAATACGTTGCAATATTTTGGACAGAAAATGGTTCAAACAAATATGTTGACTTACATGAAAATTTTCCTGCACTGATCACCTCAAGGGAGGAATATGTAAAAAAATTTCAAATTTAAAGGAGCTTTTCTTATTTTTCAGAAATAGAAGGATATCCATAAGAAAAACACAAAATTAGAGGGAGGGGGAGGAATTGGAAACTAACCCAACAAAAATGGATGTGAAAATGTGGCAGAAATCATATAAAGAAAATCTTCGCTTTTCCTTTCTCTTATTATTTTTCTTCGCTACCTTAGCTTTGCTTCTCTCTTCTATCATCATTGGCTTGTTAATCTTGAAAAACATTTCAAATGTGAAAAGTACTTTGACAGGGAGAGGAAAATCTATCCAAGTCGTTCAATTTTATGTTCCACAAAATCACTTGTCAAATAACAATGCAAACTAAAAGTAACTGTTCTCATATTCTCTTATGTATGCTCTAGAACTTATCCTTTATTTTCCGGCAAGTGACAAATACCAGTCAGTCACCAGAGAATGGGATTTTAACAAAACAAATTTGAAATTGAATACAGAAAATTCTATCCTTAATAGAAAAACCTTAAGAGAAAGCAGAAGACTTTAGATCTTGAGCCATCACATAAGTTAGAATTCGTAAAGCTAGCTGCATCGGTTTTCTGGAATCTCAATAGCACCAGTCTTCAACTTTTAAGCCTCTAGACTAGCAAAGATGGCTTTTCGTTTGTGACAACTTCAGAACGAATCTTAAGTTAGGACTCTTAGCTGATTTCAAGTTTGGCAGTCCAGTAACTTAGTTGATCGGCAACGCATGATGAGCCTGTGGAACCGTATGAACAGAATTTCTCAATAGAATTTTCTACTCCCAGATAATCATAAACATCCTTGTCAAACATTGGGTTTATGCTTTTCAGCTCATCGAGACTCAAGTCCCGAAGCTGACAGTTCTTTGAGTCGCACAACGCAACGGACCTCCCAACTATGTCATGAGAAGTTCTAAAGGGTACTCCCTGCAGAAACAAGACGACAGAACTCAATAATAACTTATCAAATAAACAAATTATTTGAATTGGTGAATAAAGAAGGTTGATTAACTTGCCTTCTTCACGAGATAATCAGCTAGTGTTGTAGCATCGAGATATCCAGCAGGTAAAGCCTTTTTAATTCTGTCCTGATTGAAGGTAATATTCTGTGCAAACTCTGCTGACACTTCAAGCATTCCCAAAATTGTCTTGACGCTGTCAAATACAGGTTCCTTGTCCTCCTGCCTCAAGAAAAAAGAAAAATGTTTCCGACTCAAAATCAAAAAGTAGCAAGAGTGCAGGAAGAGAATAGTGGAATACCAAACGAATTCACTCTACATCACATGAATATGGGTGAATTCAAAAACTTAAGAAAAATAGATCATACCATGCAAAGTTCTGTATAGAGCATGGACAAATATACAGCTCAGACCAAGATATGACTGGTGTGGGGTTCAAAAGCATACATGAGATATACACTTTTGGACCTTTTACTGAACCAGGGGACATGTGTAACCATGTTATGAGATGGGTGGGTGTTGAAAAAGTACATGGTTTGCCATGGTTTTGTGTAGGCCTATTATTCACGCCATTCTAAATAATTGAGTGCCATCGTGACCTTTTGGTTTCTCCTTATTAATTAAATGACTATCATTTATTTTTGAGAGGAATGACAGAAATAATATTTTTTTACCATCTTGAGTGGTATTTCTGATTTTTTCCCATGAGTGTTTTTCTTTTGGTCCATAAACATGTATAGTAGGTCTCCAACTACTAGAGCTTTTCTTTATTAGAAAGAAAGAAAAAAAAGAAAGAATTTTCACCTGCAAATCACGATTGTAAGCAAGAGGAAGTCCTTTGCACAGTGTTAGAAGAGTAACCAGGTCTCCTACTACTCTAGCAGACTTTCCACGGACCAGCTCCATAGGATCTGGATTTTTCTTCTGAGGCATGATACTACTTCCAGTTGAAACAGAGTCACTAGGCGTGATAAACCCAAACTCTTCAGATGCCCACAAAACCCATTCCTCCCCAAGCCGGGAAAGATGAATGGCAATGATTGAATTAGCAGAAAGAAACTCTAAGACAAAATCTCTGTCTGACACTGCATCAATACTGTCAAACAATAGATGAAGTTATTACAGCTATAAGCTATCCAAGGGAGCCAAACGTCACTTAGCAATATAGAAGGCACAAGCACATAGGAAAAGATCATTTTGACCGGCCAGGTTAATATGAAATTGAACCATGAAGCAAAAATCTAAAAATAATGGATGCTGACACCATGATAATTGTAAAATTACCAATGAACATACCTGTTTCTCATGGGAGCAGTGAATCCTAAAGCCTCAGAAGTCATAAACCGATCAATTGGAAGGCCAGTACCAGCCAATGCACAAGCACCTAACGGGCAGAAGTTCAGGCGAACTCTGCAATCTAGTAAACGGCCAGCATCACGTTCAAGCTACAAGAGAGCATAGTGGCCACAGTTAACATCACTGGACACAGACAGGATAGGAGAGAGCTACTAACCTAACCTAAGGCACAAATATTCTATAATAATATACCTGATTATCTCTACAAGATTGATCTACATGCATACATGATAGATGAGACATTCAAAACCAAAATAAATTAATAAAAGGATTTGAAATTCATAAGTTAAGTTTTGGATTTAATTAAAAAGTTGAAATAACAAAATTCTTGTTCAGCTGGGATTTGCACATTCTTCTCGTAGTTGTTCTTTGAAGAGACTTCTTTTGCCATTTCTTATGCTTGTGTGTAAAAATACCACAAGTTAAATCTTATGTTTTATAGATCAATATGCTCTTCAATTCTTGATTACGGAAAACTATTCTCATTGCAGGACCTCATTCTCCTAAAAAGCGAGGAATCATAACATCATATCAAGACATGTATAGAAACCACATCACTCCCTACGAATCTAAGTAAAAAGGATCAGTTCAAACCTGCTCAACAAATGCTAACAGAAGGTGCTGCAGAAGAACAGGCTGAGCCCTTTGTAAGTGCGTATAACCAGGGACAATAAGACCCTCATTCTTTAATGCCAATTTCACCAATGCAACCTGAAGATGTTTAACGCGTTCGACGACAGAATCAATCGCATCCCGACACCATAGACGGAAGTCAGTCAACACTTGATCGTTTCGACTCCGAGCAGTGTGAAGCTTCTTTGCAGGTTCACCAATCATATCAATAAGCGCTGCTTCGATGTTCATGTGCACATCCTCCCTATCAGTTCTCCAGACAAACTCGCCCTTTTCGATGCGCCTCTCTATCTCATCAAGACCTTTAAGAATACTATCCCTATCACTTGCACTCATCAATCCCTGCAACATAACAATTCACATTTCACCATAAACTCAAATTATTAAGTTTATGAGCATTGTAATATCATCCCTACTACAAAATGCAAGCAAGAACACATTTTTCATTAAGCATCCAGAGCACATTACACGTAGTCTAATTCCTAATAAGAAAAGCACCAAAAAAAAAAAATCCTCAAATTTCATTGCATGTTAAATTCAATCACCCATGAAAAATATACGTGTATATATATATCAACTTGATTTGAAACAAAAGCCCATTCAACTCCTCAATAAGGTCAATGATTTCGAAATTCCCACTACATTTCTCAGTAACCAAACAAAACCATGAACCAAACAGCACAATGAGTTTAAGCAACCGAGGAGCCAAACAAGAAAAAGAAGAAATCAAACGAGAAAAAGGAAACCTGTTTGGCGAGCATAGAAGCGTGAGCACGACTCCCCATGATATCGTGCTTATACAAGACCTTATCGAAGGAGATCGACTCGGTGAAGCGCTCGACTACGTCGGTGACGCTCTCCTCGAACCTTCCGCCCCAGAGCTTGTTCTCCTTCTCCGGCGGCGACGGCGAGAGAGGGGCTTGGGTTTGGGAAGAGGCGGAAATCACCTCTCTCTTCGGCATTATCGGTCTGTGGGAGAAAGCGAGCGAGGAAAGAGAGGTCTGACCGGAGAGCTTGGCTGAGGAGGAGGAGGAGATGGAGAGGAAGAGCGAACTCGGAGTTGCAGAGTAATGGCCGACAGACTCCATAGCTGACGGCTTATACTTTGGCGCTTTGTATGTTAAAACCTCAGTAGTGACTCATGACTCGTGAGTCATCGATCGAATTCGAGGAATTGGATTTGGGCATCGAACGTGGGAGACCCGACCCGGTTCTGGTTTGGGCTCGTCTTTGGGTTTGGCGTGGATACGGGCGTTTTGATAGAAATTGAATCCAAATTTTTTCAACTCTATTATTTACGTTATTATACAAAATTTTGATGTCATTCTATTATTTTTTCCACTAATCACCATTTTTTTTCATTTTTGTCATTCTATTATTTTTTTCACTAATCACCTTTTTTTTTTTTTTTTT